GCCGTTTTTGGAGGCACCAGAAACATCACCAGGAGCTTCTGTGCCTGAGAACGGGGAACCCACCACATCCCCAGTCCTCAAGAGCCAGATAGAGTCGCCTGGAGCTCCCGTATATGCCGAGTCTGACACCCCGGGCTTTCTTTTTTTCGGAAATCAAAACCCCACGCCTGCTGAGCCAGCTTTGGCCCCACCTGTCTCTTCTGTAAGTCACTACTGCCTCTCGCTTTCACTTATCTTCAGAATATTCATTAAAGGAAGCTTTAAACTGGGCTATTAAGTTCTCAATATTCATTTAATCTGTTTGTTTCTTCGATAGGACAACAGAGACGTGTTTCAGACGGTTTCAGCGGAACCTAAAGATTATAAAAGATTTCGAAGAGTTTCGAGGTGTCGCCGGTCTTCAACTCTGCTGAAGATAAGGGAGGCATGGGTAAGTTCCTGCTTTCTTTTAGTTACTGGGTGGAGATTTTAGTCTACACAGTAGTGAACATTTGAAAATTGAGATTTGTTCAATAGTTTTAGAACAACCAGTGCTTAGAACAACCACTCCGCACTGAGTAACTTAATATCTGCAGCCACCATTTAAAAGCTCACATATCAACACATGATTTATCCAGGACCTGCTTAATTCATACACTTCACAAGTAGAAGTTTAAATTGACAGATCTTCAGGTTGTCTGTAAATCTGTTCAGAGTAACATGACTTTGTCTTTGTCTTCAACAGCTTAAAGAATTTGCGAAACACATGCCTCTTCAGAACCAGCAGCATGTGGAGGCTGTAGCCAGTAGGGGACCAAATCGAATCCCTGAACCACAACCTGAGGAGCAGCCTGAAAGACCTCTGCAGAGAGATGTAAATGAATTAATCCATGAGATTCTGTCTAGTCTTCAGCCTGCTCGTCCTCCCAGAGAAATCAGAGAAACGGTTAGTTCCTGCTTTCTGTTTTAACCAGTTTTAGAATTAAAAATTAGTGTCGGGAAAAAGCCCTAAATGGGTTACTTTTAAAAGTAAGTCATGTGAAAAATATGTTGAATTTGCATTATTTTTAGATTGATATTTAGCTTAATATTGTCATATATTACATTCTTACATTCATACACTCAATGCTGTTGCTTATAAATATGCTCAGATGTTCTCTTTAACTCTTGTGTATTGTTACTACCTTTCATTATGTTAGTGGCTGTTTTTGCCCCATTGACCTCCATTATAACGAGACTTTTTGATTGTAAAGCCTTGACATCATATAATCATTCAATACAATCATGATTGTTGGTGGTTTTCCTGGTTGAGAAAAGGAAACATCTGTAAATGATACTGTTGATCATTTGTTTGGCCTATTAACCGTTTAGATAGGCCTGTGCAAAAGAAATGGCTTTTATATTGAGTTCCATTGAGTATAACAACTCATATAGTGTGTGTGTGAGTGAGTGTGTGTATGTGTGTGTGTGTGTATAAATACACTAGATAGAACTTTAATAGATTCAGTGTTAAATCATAGATTCCACATATAGAAGTTTGAGTTGACAGATCTTCAGGTTGTCTGTAAATCTGTTGAGCAACATGATTTTGTCTTTGTCTCTAACAGGATGAAGCGTTTATGAATCAGATGCCTCATCAGAACCAGCAGCATGTGGAGGCTGTAGCCAGTAGGGGACCAAATCGGATCCCTGAACCACAGCCTGAGGAGCAACCTGAAAGACCTCAGCAGAGAGATTTAATAATAAATGGAAGAGTCCGTGGGGTTCTGCGTGGTCTTCAGTCTGCTCGTCCTCTCAGAAGAATGAGAGAACAGGTTAGTCAGTCTTTACGCAGTCTTAGAATTAAAAATGAGTCTACAATAAATTTGCTTTTCCAGGATTGTTCCCCAAAATAATCAAGCATCAATCTGCTTATCAGTGCTGGAAAAAAAAGAAACTAAATGTGTTACTTAGTTATGTTTTAAAGTAAGTGATGTGAAAAATATGTTGTATTTGCATTATTTTTAGATTAAGATTAAAATGGTCATATATGACTTTTTAACCCAACATAATGCCTATAAATATGCTCAGATGTTCTCTTTAACTCTTGTGTATTGTTACCACCCTTTCATTATGTTAGTATCTGTTTTTGCCCCATTGACCTCCATTATAACGACACTTTTTGATTGTAAAGCCTTGACACCATATAATCACATATTATTGATTGTTGGGGGCTTTCTCAGTTAAGAAGAGGAAATATTTTTTCTGTTGATCATTAGTTTGCACTATTAACCCTTTAGAAAGGCCTTTGCAAAAAACTCTGTCTGGCTTTTATGTGGAGTAAATCAACTCATAGTGTGCGTGCATTAATACTTACAGAGTTTTGGTAGATTCAGTGTTAAATCATAGATTCCACATGTAGTCGTTTGAGTTGACAGATCTTCAGGTTGTCTGTAAATCTGTTGAGCAACATGAATTTGTCTTTGTCTCTAACAGGATGAAGCATTTGTGAATCAGATGCCTCATCAGAACCAGCAGCATGTGGAGGCTGTAGCCAGTAGGGGACAAAATCGTATCCCTGAACCACAGCCTGAGGAGCAGCAACAGAATGAACCTGAAAGACCTCAGCAGAGAGATTTAATAATAAATGGAAGAGTCCGAGGGGTTCTGCGTGGTCTTCAGTCTGCTCGTCCTCTCAGAAGAATAAGAGAACAGGTTAGTTTCTGCTTTCTGTTTTACTCTGTCTTAGAATTAAGAATTTGTCTACTCTTAATGGGCTTTTCCAGGATTGTTCCCCAAAAATTCCCTTAAAAAGGAACTAAATGTGTTACTTTTTAAAGTAAGTGATGTAAAAAATATGTTAAATCTGCATTATTTTTAGATTAAGATTAAAATGGTCATATATTATTTTTTTCTAATGCTGTTGCTTATAAATATGCTCAGATGTTTTCTTTAACTCTTGTGTATTGTTACTACCCTTTCATTGTGTTAGTGGCTGTTTTTGCCCCATTGACCTCCATTATAATGATGCCTTGACATCATAAAATCATGCATTCTTGATTGTTGGTGGTTTTCCTGGTTGAGAAGAGGAAACATTTGTCATTTATACTGTTGATTATTAGTTTACACTATTAACCCTTTAGAAAGGCCTGTGCAAAAAAAAGGTGTCTGGCGTTTATATGAAGTAATATGAAGTAAAACAACAAATCATAGTGTGTGTGTATAAATACACTCACTTATAAAGTTTTGGTAGATTCCAGCCATTTGAGTTGACAGATCTTCAGGTTGTCTGTAAATCTGTTGAGCAACATGATTTTGTCTTTGTCTTTAAAAGGATGAAGCATTTGTGAACCAGATGCCTCATCAGAACCAGCAGCATGTGGAGGCTGTAGCCAGTAGGGGACCAAATCGGATCCCTGAACCACAGCCTGAGGAGCAGCAACAGAATGAACCTGAGAGACCTCAGCAGAGAGATTTAATAATAAATGGAAGAGTCCGAGGGGTTCTGTGTGGTCTTCAGTCTGCTCGTCCTCTCAGAAGAATGAGAGAACAGGTTAGTTTCTGCTTTCTGTTTTACCCAGAATTAAGAATTCGTCTACACTGAATGTGCTTTTCCAGAATTGTTCCCCAAAAGAAAGTTGTGGTCAAATTAAGAAATCAAAACGTCTTCAACAGCACACAAGGGTTAGAAGTGTTGTATCTGAAACTGACAGAAAGAGATGTTCATGATTATGTCTTCTCTTCAGCAGGACGACATTGTCAATCTCCAGAACCCTCCTCTCCGGCAACCTCGGCCTGGTCCACCACCTATCTACATTCGCAGGTCGGTGGTGGGCAGCATTGGAGATTTTGCACGCCATTGATGAGGAGCCTGAAAGACCAGCCTCAAAGATGAACAAATAAATCAATAAAGAGATTTTTAAACAGAGTTCTGGAACTATATTTATGCTTTAAAGAGCATCTCGTCAATGCCACAGCCTGCCTGAGTACTGTTACTGACCATGTCCATCCCTTTATCACCACAGTGTATGACCATCCGTGTGCGTTTCCTCCAGTTTCCCCCACAGTCTAACGCTGTAGGTGAATTGAATAAACTAAATTGGCCGTAGTGAATGTGAGTGTATGAGTGTTTCTCAGTACTGGGTCGCAGCTGGAAGGGTATCCACGGTGTAAAACATATTGGAGAAATGACATTGCAATAATTTACTCTGCTGCGATATACAGTACAGTTAGGTTCATAAAGATTTGGAAATCGACACAATTCTAATACTGTTGGCTCTCTACACCAACACAATGGATTTGAAATGAAACAAACAAGATGTGCTTTAACTACAGACTGTCAGCTTCAATTTGAGGGTATTTACATCCAAATCAGGTGAACGCTGTAGGAATTACATTTGTAAATATACGCCACATTCAGTCACTTAAATCCCCTTTCTTCCCCATTCTGATGCTCGGTTTGAACTGCAGCAGATCGTCTTGATCATGTCTACATGCCTAAGTGCATTGAGTTGCTGCCATGTGATTGGCTGATTAGAAATTTGCATTAATGAGCCAGACATTATGGTATTTACTAAAATAAAGTAAGAAGCTAACATTAAATGTAATTAATAATTACATAACCAGTGGTTGAGCAACACTTGGGGTCTGCCGGGTATATTAAATAAATAAATAAATAAATAAATAAATACAGACATTAATCTCAATATTTTTTTTTGTATACTGTCCATAAAGATTTTTGTTCAGTTCTAAAAAATACACTATTCATTCAGTTGCATGTTTTATGCAGCAGATGCCAGCAGATATATATATATTCCCAGGTTTTGCTGGCTGCAATCTCCGAACTTTCATTGCCAATCTTAAGCCCATTGATATGAGTTGCTTTGGTTCATATTGGAAGTTCTCCAGCCATTGCAGAGCCCGGTGGACCTGCAGACTAGCTCTTGTTTGGCCTCCGCTGGTCCTGTTAAACTATTTAAACGAGTCATGTGACCGGTGAAGCCCCGCCCTCCAAATGCTCACGTGACCTCCCTGCGCCTAGTAACAGCGAAAGCGTCGTTCACGCTATGGATGGAGAGAGAAACTGAATGCCAAGATCCGCTGAAGATTTAGAACCGAAACGGATCACTATGCGCCATAAACTCTCCGTTCACCAACTTTCTCGCAGTTTAGACACCACACACTCCCATGCGAGCCGTTCACAATAACGCGGACTCACTGTTTGTGATACCCGGCTAAGCGTCTTAAGGCTTGGGACGGTGAGTTTTGTTTTGGTGTCGCGAACTTCAGTGCATTACAATGCGTGTTTCTCATGTAGTTGAATTTGCGGTATGTGTGTGTCACCCAGTTCTTGCATTTCCGCTTTAAAAAAGACCTTTGTGTTTGCATTCAGTGCACATAACGTTATGTGTGTGTGTGTGTGCGTGTGTGCGTGCGTGCGTGCACTGGTTTTGGTGGTTTACAAGGACCGAAAATTGTGTTATGACATGGGTATGACCTAGTTGTACTCTATTAAGGTGGTTTATGAAGATATGTAATGTGTCCTGGTAATTTAAAATGCTAAAAAAAAATCATACTTAATGAAGTATTTTCATATTAGTACTTGTCACGGTTTTGGGGTTTATTAGGGTTGAGGTTAGGGATATGGTAAGGCCATATAATAAACGTTATTTACTGTATAAAATACATTACACCTATCAAGAGTCCTCGAAAACCACCAATACCAACATGTGTGTGTGTGTGTGTGTGTCTGTCTGCGTCTGTCTCTCTTTTTCTCTCTCTCACTATCTGTGTGTGATAGTTTGTGTGATAGTGTGTGTGTGTCTGTGTGTGTGTTTGTGTAGTAAATCTATACGTAAAATCTTCTGAGGGTTCACTGCAGAATATAAATGATTACTAGCGATATGGGTTTGTTCAAATATTGCCATATTGCATCCTACTTGTTACCTAATGCGATGAGGCACTAATGCACTTAATAGGATTCAGGTCGCCCTCCCTGTCTTCCTCTAGTTCTCAGAAACAAGCTGTGGACATGCATAACTAAACCCAATACATAACTGATTACCAGCTTATACTACAGACAACATCAGCATCTGTTCTTGGCGGCTAATAGTTCCCTTGTGAGGCTTCCAGAGACTATGATGTTGTCTTCATTATCGGCTTGCGTATTTCTCACAGATAGCGAAAAATGGCTTGCGCTGTGGAGAGATGAGTGAAACCTGCTGATATTTGGGGTGATCGGATGCCCATTTAAGCATGGGGAAGCTACAGAGCAAGTTCCGGCGACGCTCAGACCTTTATAAGTGAGTAATGATGAGCACTGATGATTTGATGGCACGTTGTGATGAATTTATTTGGTTATGGAGGTTGCGTTGTTGTTATTGGCAGGGCCAAAGAAGGGGCAGAGCCTGCACCTGTGCACCAGGTAGTGCAGTACGAACCTGCTCACACAGATGCCATCAACTGTGTCGTCAGCCTGACCTCTGACCTCTGCGTGTCAGGAGGTCATGACCAGGTGAGCTGGAGGTGCATTAAAGAGGAGAAAGGTTTGGAAAATCAGAAATCTACAAATAATCGACCCTGCAGTACACAGGAAATCAAAACTAACCGTATAGACTTTGTTAGCTCACATTGTTAGTTTTGTGGTTAACAATTCATCTGTGCATGTCATTAAGAAAAAAATGTTTGGCCTTATACTCTTTAATTAAGATCTGAAATTGCACAAACCAAATTCAAACCAGTTCCAAAGCTGATAGGTTATTCGTTGATTTATTCATTCATTCATTCCCTTTATTTTCGGCTTAGTCCCTTTTTTAATCAGGGGTCACCACAGCAGTATGAACCGCCAACTTATCCAACACATGTTTTACACAGCGGATGCCCTTTCAGCTGCAACCCAGCACTGGGAAACACTCATTAACACACAAACACTGGTCAATTTTAGCCTACCCGGAGGAAACCCACGCCAACACGGGGAGAACATGCAAACTCCGCACAGAAATGCCAACTGACCTAGCCGAGGCTCAAACCAGCGACCTTCTTGCTGTGAGGCGACAGTGCTACCCACTGCACCACTGCTCCGCCGCTGATAGTTTATACAGTATATGAATATATTTATATTTTCAGAAAACGAACCCTGTTGTCATCAAGCAAGAACTGTGTTTGATTTGTGACATTGCTGTTGTTTCTTTCGATCAGGCTGTTGTCGTCTATGACTGGAGAGCTGGGAGACTTTGTAAATCTTTCCAGGGCCACAACAGAGAGATTACAAAGGTAGTAAAACTACAGTTAATTCCTTTAATTTGATTTAACAAGCAACCTGATTTGGCTTGTTTTGTTTACAAAAAAACAACAATAGAGATACACAGCTTAGTCATTCCATATATGTAGAGATACAATTAATATACATGTTTTAAAGTGAAAATCGTTATCCCTTCTATGATTTCTTTTTACAAAAATGTCAATTATTTCCCAAATGGTGTTTAACAGAGGAAGGAGTTTTTCAAAGTATTTACTATAATATTTTTTCTTCTGCAGAAAGTCTTATTTGTTTTATTTTGGCTAGATTAAAACCAGCTTTTCATTTTTGAAAAAACATTAAATATTATTAGCCCCACTTAAGCAATATTTTTTCAACTGTCTAAAGCAGGGATGGGCAAACTCGGTCCTGGAGGGCTGGTGACCTGCACAGTTTAGCTCCAACACTAATCAAACACACCTGAACAAGCTGATCAGTGTCTTCAAGATCACTAGAAATCTACAAGCAGGTGTGTTTGATTAGAGTTGGAGCTAAACTGTGCAGGACACTGGCCCTCCAGGACCGAATTTGCCCACCCCTGGTCTAAAGGATAGGATAGGATAAACTTTATTTGTCCCTGAGAGGAAATTTGTCTTGGGCAAAAAAGTGCTACAACGTTGCTCTAAGTCAGTGGTTCTCAAAGTGGGGGTCGGGACCCCCCCGAGGGGTCGCAGGGCAATGAAGGGGGGTCGCCTGGTGATTTCCCAAAATCTATTTATTTTTATTAAACCATAAGAATTAACATATTTTATCCATAACTATACTGAAAATAAAAATAGTCGTTTATAGTTACTATATATATACTATATATATATATAGTCGTTTATAGTTACTATATATGTATATACTATATAGTTACTATAGTAGCTTATAGTTACTAGTTCTATTGGATTGCGACCCCTGGGGTAATTACATTATATTAAAGGCAGCAATAGCGTCAGATGCATTTTGATTTTATAACATCAGGTTATACTTTCTGGCACATTTAAAGCACTGACACAAATTTAATTGGTGGGTCTGCGTCATTGCATGCAAGGTTTCTGTATTTATAACCACCTCAGAGGACATTGGGGGTCGCGAGTCACTGGCTTTGTTATTTTGGGGGTCGCGGGCTGAAAAGTTTGGGAACCCCTGCTCTAAGTCAGCGGTTCCCAAACTGGGGTGCGTGCACCTCTAGAGGTGCGCAGTCTGACCACCAGGGGTGCCTGAGAGACTGTTTGCAATGGTGGAAATTTTTATCTTTTATACTATGCCTTGCATTTATCTTGGATAAATTTCACATGTCATATTTTTGAATGAAAAGAAACTCTTTGAGAGATAGAGAGATAAAAATCACTTTACAAAGTATAATGTACAACCTATGCATACTCACTCATCTCACGGTGTAACGTCTGCACCACAATAGCCCCGCCCTTTCCCATTAGGCGCTAAATTATAGTACATTTGTAATTTTTTTTTTCGCTTTCTATATTTATTAAAATGGACACCTGGTTAAAAACGTGCATTTTAAAGAAGTCAAGTAACAGTAATGATGAACCATCTACATCGGCCTCTTCTATGGAGATGTGCAGCGGCCTTGAATATATGCACTTGGAGGATATTGAACGAGGTGAAGAGGCACAGGCGGGAAAATTGCCTAATTAACCTAATTAAAAGTCACTTTAAGCTGAATACTATAGTATCTTGAAAAATATATGGTCAAATATTATGTACCGTCATCATGGCAAAGATAAAACAAATCAATTATAAGACATGAGTTATTAAAACTATTATGTTTAGAAATGTGTTAAAAAAATCTCTCTGTTAAACAGAAATTGGGGAAGGAAATAATCATGGGGGCGAATAATTCTGACTTCAACTGTATGTCAAGAATAATTGTCTCTGTTTTCTTCCAGTTGTGTTGTTTTAAAGGGAGTTCCCTGATCTTCAGCGCATCTCGAGATAAGACGGTGCTGATGTGGGATTTGGGACGAGATACAGAAGCCATCCAGGAGTTCAGTGGTCATGAGCTTGTCGTTAATGGAGTAGCTGTTAGTCCAGGTGAACAAACTCCCAAACTATAACATGCGTTGGGCTAGGGCTGGATGATTAATCGAAATTAAAACGATATTCGTAACCTATACCCAACATAATTTCCCCATTCCGGTTATTTAGTTTTTTTTAAATCCTGTTAAGATATCTCTTCAAAAATGTATTACTGAATGTGGGAAAATTGAGCACATTGAGTTTGACACCGCAGTGAGTGTATTGTTCATATACCTGACCAAAATCAAAAGCGCAGGTCTCTTATACAGTATTTCATACATGCACACATCAGGTAAATCATATTCTTTGTTGCTGGTTTATTTGGTATATTAAATTATAACAATATTCATTCATTCATTTTCCTTCGGCTTAGTTCCTTTATTTATGAGGGGTCACCACAGCGGAATGAACCGCTAACTATTCCGACATATGTTTTACGCAGCTGAAGCTCTTCCAGCCGCAACCCAGTACTGCAAAACACCAATACACTCACTCACACACACTCATACACTTCGACAGGGCCGGATTGTCTAATCGGGGGAACCAGGAGAATTCCCGGTAGGCCGGTCCGTTTTTTGGCCGCGAGGGCCGGTGTCCCTAGCTGCTTGCACTCTCAGCAGTTGCACGTTTTGCATTTATTTGTTTATTTGACCATAGCCTCACTCTTTATATTCATTATTTTGTCGCAGCTCCACTCTTTTTATTTATTTTCTCGCAGCCCCGTGAGCAAAATGCAGCCCGCACCCCATTCCACCCCAAACAGCGGGACGTTAGTGAATATTAGGGATGTAAAGGTATCAGAATTTTACGGTACGATAATACCTCGGTATGAATGGCACGGTATGGTATTTATTAAATAATTTAGAGGAAAAACAAAACTAATGAAAAGACTCGAAAAAAGTGCCAAAAGTGTTTATTTACCTTAGCACTGAACATATCAATGACATACAAATTAGCCATCTATCTGTAAGTTTCGATACAGGAACTTCAATTTTTCAATTTTAATAACAAAAAACTATTAAACCAAATAAAAAAAAATAAAGTTTCAATTTAGTATTGTTGAAAACTCATCACATTCAACATTTAATCACAAACTCACTTAGATAAAGATGGGTTTTTCAAGGAAAATTATCATATAAATATAATCTGGTAAAAGCTGGGATCTCTGGGCATGTCCCCTGCAACAGAAATAAACCCCTCTCATTTGGGACTGAGGTTTCTGGGACAGAGAGATATGATTTAGCCAAGGTTGACAGCAGTGGGTAACGTTGTGCATTGTCTTTCCACCACTTGAGAGGACAAGCCATGAGTGAGATAGAGGTCTCTTTGCGGTACAAGTCAATGTCTGCATCAATCTAGTGTGCTGTGTTCTGCAGTCCCCGTGACTGTTTTTAGTCGTATTCCCCGACTTATATTTCACCACAGTCTGGCAGTGCCTGCATATTGTTTTTTCTTTGTCTGTCACCTTTTCTCTTTTTTCGTATCTTTTTAGAGAGAAACCGAAATGCTTCCACACATCTGATTTAAAACCCGCTTTAGGTTAGATCATTTCCAGCTCTTTTTCTTCCCCGCTACTGGCAACACACTCCATTTTCGCATTACTGGATCAATAGCGACAACAGACCGCAAAGGATGATGGCCACGCCTAGGCTGATGGGAATTGTAGTTCCCGCTACCTCCCGTTTCGCTTCATTCGCCTGAGCAAACTTTTCTCAGAAATATAGTTTTATTGGGTCATGCTACTACGGTAATATTGAAAAAAATTACTTTTGCGGTATGACGGTATTTACAATATTGTTACATCCCTAGTGAATATTAATTAATATTAATGAATATTACACCTGCTCAATGAAAATCAGATGATTCACTACATTAATAAATCTGACATAACTTGATCAGAAATCTATAAAGGGGAGAAAAAGAGTAAAACAATTGATAGGGTAAAACAAGAGTAGACATCAATAGCAGCAAATAACAGTGCACTGCTTAACAGCGCCATCATGGTCTAGTGGTTAGCATGTTACGTTATGACACTGCCGATCTGAATTCGAACCTCACCAGAGTATAATATAATTTTTTCATTTTCAGTGTTAAGACATAAAATACTGTTTGTGTTACTTATGTAAGGGTACTTTTTGTGTGTGTGTGTGTGTGTGTGTGTGTGTGATGACCGTTACAAAGGGCTGGATATCTATAAAGAATTAATGTTCTCATATTTGTGAAAAACATTTGTAGTTCTAAAGCAGCTGTGTCCTTGAAAAAGACGTGTTAGTGTCATCTGAAACTGAATTGGAAATGGCGTTATTTTAATATAGTCAGTTGTCGACTGAGGTGGGCCGGTCTAAGGCTTGAAACTCCAGAGCTAAAAAAGGAGTCCCACTCCAGCCCTGCACTTCAACCAAATTAGTTCATTCAATTCACTTCTAGAGCATGTCTTTAGACTGTGGGGGAAACCGGAGCACATGGGGAGAACATGCAAACTCCACACAGAAATGCTAACTGGTCCAGCTGGGACTCGAACTAGTGACCTTCTTGCTGTGAGGCGACAGTGCTAACCACTGAGCCATCGTGGCGCTCATTGAAACAATATATTGTGATATACTGGTACATCATAACAATGTGATTCAATGGCTCTTGTATCATCTGCATTTTCACTTCGGCAAATCAGTTAGAGCGAACACATATATAAGTAATATTCAGAAACCTGACAGATTATTAATAGCAAAGGTTCTTTTTCTTTTTTTTCTGAGCTATAACATATCAAGGTTTCACTTTCCTTCAGCTTAATCTCTAAAATAAATTATGAAGAGGTTGCTTTATAACTGACAGCACAGCTTATTTCTATCATTAAAGAAAAAGAATATTTAGTTCACTAATGTTCTGTTAAAACTTTAGTTTAGCTTGCAATAGATGCTGGTTATTTCCCACTTTTGACAATGAAATGTTCAATTATTTAGTTTGGAGGAAAAAAAGTTATTTAATTTTTTTTTTATTAAATGAAACTTGAAAAATGAAAATTGAAATGTGACTTTTTTTCACAGGAAGCAGTTTGGGCTTTGATTTGAGTTTAAATTATTCATCAATTAGCCATCAGTAGTTTGTTTGCTTTAATTATTTTACTCTCATCAAAAAACAGAACCTCAATGGGTGCACAATCTCAAATGTGATGCTGTAATGTGTTTTTTATTGTCTTGTAGATGGATCAAAGCTGTGCACGGGTTCTCGAGATAACTCCATGTGCCTCTGGGACATTGAGTCTGGAGAATGTCTGCAGAGAAACACCATCTCACGAAACCTGGTTAGAAAATACATAACTTTGATAATCTTCAAATATTTGTATGTACTTTATTTTTAAGAAAAGAAGGTGTACAGGGTCAAAATTTTGTTGAAGCATTTTGTCAAGCATTGTTGAAGGGGTGGTTCACTATGATATCATATATTAAACTTTAGTTGGTGTGAAATGTGTGTGAACGTAAACAACATCTCTTCAAAGTTCAATGCAAAGGGAGACCTTGATTTTTACAGAGTTAGCTTAGCAAAGCCTACAATGAACCAATTTTGGGGACTACAAAAAATACTTACGCCCCCTATGAGATCACAAAGGTTTATTTATTGCGCATACAAACTGCCCGTGGCCTTAGGCGCTGTAACGTTATAGCAGAGATGAAGCTAAAAATGCATCTAAACGCTGCTGTTTCTACTGCAGTTGGTGACTCTATCCAAAGCACTAAATTGAAACAATTTCAGACATTATTAAAATGTAATGAAGTGTTTCAAAGGAAGCATAAAACTCCAGAATTTGTAGCTCAATATAAGCACAATCGATTATTAACTTCTTTTTCATTCTTCTTTCTGACACCCCCTAAACACCACAAATATGGCAGCTGTAGGAGGAACAATTACATACACATCTTTCAGTAGGGTTGTAAATACAGTTGAAGTCAGAATTATTAGCCCCCTTTGAATTTTCTTTTTCTTTTTTAAATGTTTCCTAAATGATGTTTAACAGAGCAAGGAAATTTTCACAGTATGTCTGAAAATATTTTTTCTTCTGCAGAAAGTCATATTTGTTTTATTTCGACTAGAATAAAAGCAGTTTTTAATTTTTAAAAATCATTTTAAGGTCAAAATTATTAGCCCCTTTAAGCTATATATTTTTTTCCCGATAGTCCAGTGTTTCTCAACTGGTTTGGCCATGGGACCCACATTTTTACATGATCATCAAGCCGCGACCCAAATTTTTAGGAACTATAATTAAATTTTAGGAATTATAATTAATTTGTATTTATTTGTTAAAATACACAAGTAGTGACAGATAAATCATAAGAAAATCCCCAAGACTAAATAAAACTATATTTTATTGCTGTCATTTAACAAAATGTATCAAATTATAGAAATATTACAAAGTAAAATACTGTAAATAGTGGACAGGCTAAGGAAAGGTTCAGTTACCATGAACTAAACTGTTAATAAAACATGTTGTCTGGTTTCTAAATGTTGTTTTAATTTAGAAGGTTTCATGCTCTCTTGTGAGAGCACCTCAATACTTATGACACACTGAGGTTAAGTCCTTTTTGTCGTCAATATATGTAAATCCATACTTAACATATTCAGCGTCGTACTTGCGCTATGAAATATTTGTTGCTATAATTAAATTACATTTTTACATGTCAAACGGTAGAGTTTTCATGCACGCATTTCAAAATAAAAGTCAAAATAAGTTTATAATTAAACTTTTGCTGTTTTTTTGACCACACACTCCGCGACCCACTGAAAATGTTTCCGCGACCCACCAGTTCAGAAACACTGCGATAGTCTACAGAACAAATCATCATTATACAATAATTTGCCTAATTACCTTAACCTGCCTAGTTAATCTAATTACCTAGTTAAGCCATTAAATGTCACTTTAAGCTGTATAGAAATGTCTTGAAAAATATCTAGTCAAATATTATTTACTGTCATCATGGCAAAGATAAAATAAATCAGTTATTAGAAATGAGTTATAAAAACTATTATGTTTAGAAATGTGTTAAAAAAATTCTCTCTGTTAAACAGAAATTGGGGAAAAAAATAAACAGGGGGGCTAATAATTCGGACTTCAACTTTATGTACTTGTGATTTTTCAGGTTTTGTTATTTTTTAACAAATTTGCACACACAAATTTTATTCACATTGTCATTATGGGGTATTGTGTGTAGAATTTTGAGGAAATAAATGAAATATTTTGAAATAAGGCTGTAACATAAATAATGTAGAAAAAGTGAAGCGCTATAAATACTTCCCGTATGCACTGTATTTTGTTTGCTTGGTGTTAAAGGTCAACAAGGGCAAAATTATCCACAAAACACACCTTATAATAAATATAACTAAGTAGATGAAAAAATTTAATACAAGTTACTTACCTAACTCCTTAACAAAAACAATATAAACAGATATGAAATAAAATGGCGATGCAGTGGCGCAGTAGGTAGTGGGGGCAAGAAGGTCGCTGGGTCGCTGGTTCGAACCTCGGCTCAGTTGGCGTTTCTGTGTGGAGTTTGCATGTTCTCCCTGCCTTCGCGTGGGTTTCCTCCGGGTGCTCTGGTTTCCCCCACAGTCCAAAGACATGCGGTACAGGTGAATTGGGTAGGCTAAATTGTCCGTAGTGTATGAGTGTGTGTGTGCGTGAATGTGTTTGTGGATGTTTCCCAGAGATGGGTCGCGGCTGGAAGGGCATCCGCTGCGTAAAAACTTGCTGGATAAGTTGGCGATTTATTCCGCGGTGGCGACCCCGGACTAATAAAGGGACTAAGCTGACAAGAAAATGAATGAATGAAATAAAATGGCGTCAAGTTTCCTACTTCCCATTTAAGTGACAAATTCAAGCAGATAAAATGGTAATTAGGCAGGTAAATAACTGGGAATCTCAAAACAGAAGAAATAGGGCTGCACGATATTGCAAAAATCAGATATTGCAATAATTTAATTACATTTTTATTAAATAGAATTTATATTTAATTTAATTTTAGTAACAAAATACCACAGCAATCATAATGATCTAAAAACTACAGGTCAGGTCATTTCTTACTTGTATATTAATTATCTTTTTAGTCACTAAACTTGACTTTTTTTTTTGTTCCTCCTGTGTTTCAGGTTACCCATGTGTGTTGGGTACCAGGAAGCACGTCTATTGTCCAAACCTCAGAAGACAAAACTATCAGGTCAGACGATCGCTGAAATGCCATGATGTGTTTGTGTGTGTTGATTGTTTGTAGAGATGCAGTTCTCTAGAAATATTTACTAGACAAATAAGCCTGTGTTATTGTTACGTCATCACAAAATGTCAAATAAATCATCACGAGGCTGTGTACATGAAACTAGATACACTGCACAATGAGGTTCCATTTGTTAACATTAGTTACATTTACATTTTACATTTACATTTGTTTATTTAGCTGATGCTTTCATTCAAAGTGGCTTACAAATAAGAAGAAAAGTAGTAGCAATCAGGCCAACAAAAGAGCAACTTTTTTATGAGCTCTGCAAGTCCCAGTTTTCCTAACACGGGAATATGTGGCGAAACAAATCAGTGAAATGACAAATAGATTGAACAGAAAGTGCTAGTTGTGACAGGTCAAGTGCATACTTGCAAATAGCTGAAAGTTATTCATCCAAGCCATTCCACCTGTAGCAAGCACATAAGGTAACATGAACAAACAACTCAAAATCTAAATTTCAGCATTTATTATTAGATTAAAATAGAAAACCTATTCAATGGACCTGGTGTCTGTTCTTCATACGTGGATTACTCAGCTGGATTTGATTATTGACGATTTGACACGATCCAGGATCGTTTCGTTCTTCAAAACTGATCCAAGAGCTGTTGTCATAGCAACAGTTCAGGCAGCTCAAACCTGGTCAGGAGCAGGTTCAATTCATATAAACAGGGTTAGATCAGCTCAGTTCAAGCTAAGATAATACAGAAAGTATTTACCGAATTCTGATATTTTCGGTCACACTTTACAATAAGGTTCATTAGTTAATGTTAATTAATGCATTTACTAACCCGAACAAACAATAAACCATACATTTACTATTGTATTTGTTCATGTTAGTTAACGTTAGTTAATGAAAATACAGTAGTTCCTTGTTAGTTCATGTTAACTCATGGTGCATTAACTAATGTTAACAAGCATGGACTTGGATGTTAATAATGCATTAGTAAATGTTCAATTATGATTAATAAATGCTGTAAATGCTTTGTTCATGATTAGTTCATGTTAGTAAATGCATTAACTAATGAACCTTATTGTAAAGTGTTACCATATTTTCTTATATATTTATATTCTTAGATTTTTCTTATATTTTTTATAGTTATATACACTTGAGAAAATAGGAAATGTTTTTTTTAATTATATATAGCTCTAATAAGTTAAATGCAATTAGTTAAAGGCATGGAGATATAATTATTCTGTATTTTCTTTAAGGCTACTTTGAAACCATGCATTTTGTCAAAAGACACATTTTGATTGTGTGTGTGTTTTGATGTGTTTTGTCGGCCTCAGGGTGTGGGACAGTCGCACATGGCAGGTCACAAACACTTTTCCAGCAAAGCAGTACATTCAGACCCACTGTGATGTCAACGCTAACTGTTACCACCTGCTTTCCTCCAGCAACGGTTTTGGCGGACAGGGCTGTGAGGCCACGGTGAGTGTGTGTTTATGCGTTTGTACTATGTTTTCCTTACGCTTTGGGTTAGATTTAGACCCCATGAGAAAAACAGCTCATAAATCCTACAGATTGAAGTATTTCGAAAATGTAAAAATGCAGATTGTTTCCTGTGAGAGTTGGGTTAGGGGTGGGGGTATGGATTACACAGTGTGCACAGTATAAAAATCATTATATCTATGAAAAGTCCCAATAAAGTTAGCTGTACATGTGTGTGTGTGTGTGTGTGTGTGTGTGTGTGTGTGTGTGTGTGTGTGTGTGTGTGCGTGTGTGTGTGTGTGTGTGTGTGTGTGTGTGCACGTCTAAAATACCTCCAGGACATTACTGTTATTCTAGAGTAGATTAAGATGTCCTGGTTTAATTTCAATTCACAAGCACTCAATTTGGTTCAATGAAAATTAGAATTTAAAGGGCACCTATGGTGAAAAATCTATCTTTCAAGCAGTTTGGACAGACATGTGTGTAGGTATGGTGTATAGACCGTCATATTGGGGTGATATAAACAAAAAACAAAAAAAAAGTCTTTTTTTTTTCAATTTAACAACACAAAAACGGTGGACCAATTGGATCGGTTTTAAGAGCCGCGATCACAGAAGCTCCCTGTCATCTCAACTTGGTGCAGCTGGAAAGTGCAAGCGTGTTGACTCGCGTGTGTCCCTCCATTGGAAATAACGAACTTGCCTTAAGCAGGTCACACACCAGAAGCGCCGCTTGGCAACGTGCAGCGCCATGCATTTTAAAATTCTAAACATAGGTTTTTATCAGGGTACACACACCGGCGCCGCAAGTCGGTGGCTGTCCGCGGTGCCCAGCCACGACTCAGGACACTGTTCATATTTCTGCCGCGCCACAAAGCGCCATCTGAATAGTTTCATTTTAAATTACATGTAATGTAAGGCTCTTAGGGGCGCATTCGGTGTGTGACGCCCTTTAGTTATAGCCTCAGTCAAAGTTAATTCAGTGTGCGTGGTAAATAGTCTCAGTGTACAAGCTCGGAACTTTAAACTAGACACAAAGGATTTTGTAGTCTCTGCTTTGTCTGTCTGAGATCGGGTTGTACATGTACGGCTGAATGCTGGTCCTCTCACTCATGTTGCTTCTCTCTGTCTGCCTGTCTGTTGCCATACACAAAGCAGGGGAGCTCTTGGCTCCGCCCCCTTGTTAAGTTGGGTGGTAAGTCGAAACTAATTTTCATGTGAAGCAACACACCTCTAAAACAACGACCTGTGTACACGCCCACAAAATGACACTTTTTAACACATTATAATAAAAAATCTGACTTGTGTTTTGAACTGAACCTAAACTGGCACACTCAGAAGACCCATAACCTTAATATTAAGGGGTAAACTAGGTGCCCTTTAATACAAATTCTATTGATATTCCTGAATAATCATCAGTAAACATTTTTATTTAGGTGCATGTGGGTACATTAAGACAGAACCCAGCACTAGACAGTGGGACACCAATTTTATATAAATGTATTCCAGAATTGCATATACAGTTCACGCATTTTTCAACAACCAAAGAAATCCATCTATGCAAAGAAAACAAATTAGTTTAAAAATGTGGTTATGAGAACACATGAGAAAAGGGAGGTGTAGAAAGGCAGTGAAAGCCCAAACAGCAGCTGAAATGTCTCAGCAGTGCCTCTGCCCTTCGTGATTGTAAATTAATATCCGCTGCTTCAGCCCAACATCTACATTAGCAGAAGGATGAAGATGAATCCAGGGTGAACATTTCAGCATGACAATGATATAAAAAACAGCCAAGGAAACTCTCGAACACTTTCAGAGAAAGAAAATGAAGCTGTAGAATGGCCCAGCCAATCACCTGAGCTGAATCCAATAGAAATGACAAAAACGAGACCCTCAATGAATTGCCATCAAGCAATTCATGCAACTTTATTTTCCATGTTTTTTAAGCTGCCATCACCAAAAAAGTATTTTATATAAATTGTTAAATACTTTCCAGTAGTTCAGCACTTACTCCTGTGTCATTTCATTGTTATTTCGATTGTTTTGTTTTGTTTTGTTTTATTTTTATGTTTGTACTGTTTGGGTTTTTACTAAAATCTGGTGCATTTCCATGTCAACAGCTCCTTTAGAAATATTATTCCCAGGAGAAAACATGACATGTTCAATCAACAATTGAATAATGTACGGTAATCAGAATTGATTATTAATGTAAAATGATGCTAAATGCTTAATGGAAACGCTTGATAGCGAGCATTTGAATCTGTTACTAGTTGTTGTTGGACTTATTGTTGAATGTTTTAAACTCCTTTTACAGAGATGATGACAATAACAGAGACATTTTCCACCATTTAATCCACCATTCAATCGGTCTAGTTCGAGTCAATGATCTATGCTAAGCTAAAAGTGCTCCCGCCAGACCAGAGATCGGCTGAATGGATTAAAAAAATGGTCAAACTCAACTGTTTACCTTAACTTTGAGAGAGTTGTAAAATGAGCCTAGTTCCAAAAACAAACTTTAAACGTAAACATTACGATATGTACTTTTAGAAAAAAAAAAACGTATAAAACCCCTAATCGCTGCGTTTGAGAATCAATATTGAAACAACCACTATTTGGTATCGATGTTTTTTGCACATCTCTAATATATGCACTTTTGTGTGTGCGTGTGGTTGCGTGTGCGTGTAGCTGTGGGACCTCCGGCAGCCCGGCTGTAAGGTGGCCGAATACAGAGGACACTTGCAGACCACAGCATGTTGTGTGTTTGTGCCTCCCCGTCCTGGATGTCCTGCCCTCGTGGCCTCTTCATCATATGACAGCTCAGTGAAAATATGGGACCAGAACACTGCAGGTAAACACACGCACATTCAGATACACAGACAGACACACACCTACATAAACACACAAAGACTTTCTTGAGCACCAAGCCAGCATATTTAATGATTTTTAAAGGATCATATGATGCTGAAGTTTAGTTTTGCATCACTAGAATACATAGAAATATAAAATTAAATCAAGAATATAAAATGCTAAAATGTTACAAACCCCTGATGTTAGTCTAGGGGATAGTGGGGTTTGACATTTAATTAATTAAAATATATTTATATAAACAGTGAATGAGTGCAAAAGACAACCAAAGTAATGCCAAAAATGTGTGCTTTTATTTACAATTCCCAAAAGTGAACAACAACAACGAATTAATCAAAAATAAAGAAAAAGTAAGTAAGGCAAAAATAAATTATTTACAATATATACAACACTGAGACAAATAAAGACGGGAAAAAACAAGAGAGCTGGCAGAAGGGACGCAGACGCTGAAGAAATGAAAAGAACAAAACCCAAACTAAATCTAACTTCCCAGAAGCGTCTAGCTAACTAACTATGTGAAAACTGTATAATTAACACGCAAAGATCTTCCGAGTCCTAACTATCTACTCTATCTAGCTATCCAAAAAGTACAAGGAGTGGCGCTTGCCCCTAACCTAATGTTCTAAACAGCAGAGTAGTCCCAATGACTGTAAAAAATATGGACGCGACAGCCCCTTTTCCCATTGAACGCCTTGAGGGCAAAACGCCTGCTTGACGGGCACAAACGGTCGCAAAAGACTGCTGAAATTGGAGCCTTGACATGCGCAGAAGGATTGTCTGATGGAGCCAGAGGAGGAGCCGCGAAAATGAGCGGTGTCGAACTTCCAACCAAACGCTTTATGTAAAATCAACCACGCCCCCTGAACTTCTCAGCATGCTTTTGCTGTCATATCAACACAAATGGATGTAATAACAATAACAATAATGAGGCAACAAGAATCAGTCCAAGGCACTCGAGTAAAGTGAAAATATTAAAAAGCCTATTAAAAAGCCTAAGGCTTTTTAATATTTTCACTTTACTCTAGTGCCTTGGACTGATTCTTGTTGCAGATTTGATGAATCCCTTACCCAAAGAGCACCGACCATATATTTGAGCTTACCCCAGAGCGCTTTTTGTTTGTTTTTTTCTGGAGTAAACAAATATGAGGGTTTTATATATTCAATCGCGCCAGCTCCGGGCCGCAGCGCATAACCTACTCGCGGCGTCGCCGGCTGATTCTGGCTCGCATGCGGCAGCGCCGGCTCGCTCAGTCGCCGCGTCTGGCTCGATTGACTCGGGCTGGAATCAGGCTGTGAGTCCAGGCATCCGGAGTAGGTCCAGCAGAGGTAGTCAGTCTGAGCTCTGAGGGGTAAGTCTCCGGCAGGCGAGAATCTAGCCGGAACTGGCCCGAGTGTATTTTGCTATCTGGGTGGCTAGGCGTGTATCAGCAAACTAATAAAGCCCGAAAAAAGCCCTGACCTTAGCGAATAAACAGAGTTCCACCAGATCATGTATGTCAGAAACTGTAGTTTACTGCTGAACTCATTTTGTCATGGTAAAATAACACAGAAATCGAATAATAACACTTCAGTCTCCTGCCGAAGCTCAGACGGTCTTCTTTGAGAAACTGTCAATCACAGCTGTCAATCACGATGACACGCCCAGCATTAAATTACTGCTAAAAACAAACTGTTAACAAAAGTGAAGATCTGCACCTATTTCAACACAATAACCAGTGCCTTAATCGACCAGAACCATCTTTCGGGACATTTTATTGCAAGTGTAATACATTTTTTTTTATTTGGGCTCAAGTCTCCTTCATTAACACGGAGGAGGCGGGCTTTATGACTTGTACTGCAGCCAGCCCCCAGGGGGCGATCTAACGGCCGAGACCTTCACTCAAACACAGGCTTGCGGCACACTTGAGTAGTCCTAAGTGTTGCAATTTATGTCACGTGACCTTCTTACCTGTCCACTTCGTCCAAGTAAACAACGTAAACTGAGAACGATGTACGAATAACGGACGGATAACGTGCACACAGAAACGGGCAACAACAAAAACACACAGTTAGACAGGGTTATTCTAAACGCACGCAATAAATACAAACAAGCGGCAAAAGCAGAGAAAGAGAAAAATAAAGCAAGTGACTAGCGAGTGGTCTGACGCGCGCTTTTATGACGAGTGGTCTTTGCTTATTGGATGTGACGTAAGAGTGACGTAATCGGAGGGAATGACTGACAGCTGAGTGGACCAATGAACGAAACCTGAGAATACATGAAAGCAGATATGGGAAAACAGCGAGAGAGAGAGAGAGAGAGAGAGAGAGAGGGGAAAAAAACACAGAGAAACAGAGCACAAATAACACAAATACATAACATAAATAATAATTATTGTTTCTTCTATATTTGTATTAAATAGATAGATAAAATTTACTCACATTACGAACACAGTAAATAACAAGACTCTTGTTTACTCCCCGTTCTTTCTTCAGCTTGTTTGTACACTTTAACTCTGGATGGTTCGGGGCCGCTGGTTTCTCTAGCTCCGTGTGACTCCAGTAGTTTGCTGTGTGCCAGTTTTAACACAGGACTTCATCAGCTGCATCTAGACCAGAGCGCAGTGCCCAGTATCACTGAAGTGGCTCGCTTCTGACCTCCAATCTGGAAAAATCACACCCCCTCCTGACCTCCATCTGCAGAATAAACCAACTTCTTCAATGAATGGAACTCTTGGTAATTACAGGGAAAAGAAAAGTATGTTCTAATTAAAGGGATAAGCTCATCCAGAAATGAAGATTTGCTCCAGTCAGGCCAAGATGTAAGATGAATTTCTTTTATTTGTTCAACGTTACATCACTTGCTTTACCAGTTGAAGCTCTGCAGTAAATGTCCTGTAAAACAGCTGATAAAAACAACAAAATATGTCACAACACAACTTGAGTACACCACTTAAAGTCAAGGAGCCCTATAATACACCCAGCGGCATAAGGTACAGGGCGTGTATGGCATGATTTGTTGCTATTTTCATACGAGCGCAGGTTTCTTTTTTTAACGTTTTGTACCATGTTGTTTGAATAGCAAATCCATTTGCGCCATTTTTTGGACTCATGGGAGTGCCAGTCTGAAAAGGAGGTGTATTAAGGCGCATTGTTGGCTTGTTGTTGTTTTGAGGAACTAAAATAGACTGCACCATTCACTAACTTAAAGCTGCTCTAAAGTCCAGCACAGAGTTTTTGTCATTTAAAGTGCTTGTTAATCATGCGCCTAAACGGTTCCAAAAGCTTACACATTGCATAATATACATACTGTAGGATGTACAGCAACACACACATATATTTACATATGAATAAAATTAAAGGATTCAAATATTTAAAAAAATGTATTATTTTCTACATAAATGCACAAACCACTGCCTCCATGCCTTCTTCACCTTGTGGGGCTTTTTTTCAGTTTATTCATAACAATTTGCATTTGTATAAGGTTATTATTATTATTATTATCAGTATTATTTATTATATGCCTATTTATATATACTTTTAATAAAAACAAGTTTAGATTTGTCCATCTGTCACGTTTGGAGATGTCTGCATTATCATATGGGGTATAAGAATAGGACGTGTGTTTGGATATAACTTGACCACACTTTGTTATTATTATTAATTTATTCATTCATTCATTCATTTTCTTTTCTGTTTAGTCCCTTTATTAATTAATTTTTTATTAATTTTTATGCAGCGGATGCCCTTCCAGCCGCAACCCATCACTGGGAAACATCCGTACACACTCATTCACACACATACATTACGGACAATTAAGCTTACCCAATTCACCCATACCATGTCTTTGGACTTGTGGGGGAAACTGGAGCACCTGGAAGAACTCAGGAGAACATGAAAATTCCACACAGAAACGCCAACTGACACAGCCGGGGCGCGAACCAGCAACCTTCTTGCTGTGAGGCGACAGTGTTACCCACTGTGCCACCGTGCTGCCTGTTCATTTATTTGCTTTCTGGAATTAGAAATTAGTTTTGAAACAAATCTTTGCGCATAACAAACGAAATTAAATAGGTAGGATAATGGATGTCTTCAGTGGAGTGAGTTTCCCGTTCCCTTATCCGCAAAAGTAAAGGAGTAAAGAGTGAAAGTAAAGTAAAGAGAAAGTAAAGAGGCCGAATGGGGGAGGCTCGTTCTTTATCCTCGGGCTGCAGATGGTCTGTTTAACTGTTTTCTCACTAGTGAAGCGTTCAGTTTTTCCACTTACAAAGTCCGTCATGTAAATAGCAAACGCGCCATGGAGCGAGGCAACTGACTCTTAAAGGGAATGGAAGATGAGACTCTAATTGGTTTAATGCACGTTATACTCAAAACACACCCATAACTTATTAAGAGAATAAGCACAACCCTTTTAGACCATGTGCCAGGGCGCAGAGCGTATTGTCTGTCCTTAAAATAGCAAAAGTAGATTCAGACACAGCCTTGATGCTTTTGTGCCTTGCGCTTTAGCTTTTTGTGCTTAAAACGTTATAATAGAGTCCTAAATATAGGTCTTTCCTAAAGGCCAGGTAAGAAACTGGCTGTAATTTGGCCACATTTTTAAAAATATTTTCAAACGATATGGATTATTCGATTATCAGACATATTTGTGTAAGCGAATCCCTCTGTAGTGTGTGACAAGTACGTCCTTCGTCCTTCGTAAGCAGGCGCTTGTTTCAGTTATGGAGAGTTTAGACCGCATGATTTATAAGGTAGTCGTGTCACAGATGTTTTCACACTACATGACTTTCTGGGCTAGGGTTTTGTCGCTGCTTTGTTTACACTGCAAGATGGATCGGCGACGGGGTTTCACTTTGCATTTTACAACAGGAAGAATCGGCAACAACTTCGTCCAAACTACGTCTCACAGCCAAAATCACGTAGTATATAATTTGTTGTTAACTACATAACGAGAAAGAAGCATTTAATGGGGTAGAAAATGTAGATATTTGCTCACCTGGGTTTGAAGGGATTTAGCATTTTCTCATTTTGGCACTTTCTATTTTTACCCAATTGTAATATTGATGACATGTCAAACAGACACGGTTGCTCCTGCCAAATTTCCACTAGTTTTTCCTCCATTTTTTGGGTCCAAATAAATTGGGAATGAGCGCTGACCTGCAGGTACACATGTAACCCCACCGATTTAACACAACCCAACCCGCTCCGAGCTGGTATAGAACCGGCGACTTTCCGCATGGGAGTCGGTTGCTCTAACAAGGAGGCTAAAGACCATGGCCTCTAGCATCTGTCGCCAGAGCACGTTTAGAGGTCAGAGGAGTGAGGTTTACCTGCACAGCACACACTAGCTGGCCTCCATTATACACACACACAAGTGAATGCTGCTCTCTTATTGGCTGTAGGCAATCGCCGATGTTATTTTAAGTCAAAACTCATTTCACATGGCATGATTTGAGTGGCAGACAGTTCCAGATATTTAGCACGGCAAATATCTCACAGGCATCGGCGACTCATCAGCGATTCTCTCAGATCGCGTCTTTAATAGTTCATACTGTGTGATTGTCACTCCACGAGCACCGATTTGCCTGTGATTTCAGACATTTGTCTGCAATTTCTCAAAACCTGTCGGCGAGCCAAAATCGGGGCTAAAATCATGCAGTCTGAACTAGGCATTAGCTGTCAATAGTTTGGTGTGTTTATGTGCTGCAGATAATGCATCTGTTTAACCTCACATACTACTGACAAAACTACCCTGGTCGAAGTTTTTTTTAGTACACAAATCCACAGGGAAATATCCACAGGTCAAGCTCCAATTGCAGGCAAAAACAAATATTTTGGTGTAATTTTTCTCTGACCGTAGCTTTAAACAATGAACGTTATACCAGTATTTTGGCCAGATGCGTCTTTTTAAAAACTGATGTCACCATTTCACTTCACAATAGTTGATGGACCTGTTTTTATCTGCCGTTTAAATTGTCATTCACTGCAGAGCGTTCATTGACGACGAAGAAACATTATCATCTACATCTTTTAAGACCTGAGGGTGAGTAAATATTCATTCGCTTTATTTTTATTTAGGTAAACTATATTAGCTACACTGTAAAAATGATGTGTATTTTGTGTGTTTTTAGTTTTTTTTTTTCGGTTGTGAATTGCATTATGGGATGTTGATCTCAGCTCTTACTGTTTAATGTTGAAAATTCAACTACAATTTAACAACGTGACTTTTATTGACATTTTAGTCGTTTGAGATAATGTTAAAGTAATAATATATAGAGAAATAAGCTTGTAAAATAACATAAGTTGTACTGGCAGTTTAATACAATGTTTTGTAGTGTAATATAACAACACCATCCCAGACAATATATCACTGTAAACTATTAAAAATGTTAATAAAAGTCACCTTTTACAACTTTTCAAGATAAACGTTGTTGGAAGAAAGATTAAGCTTCCAAAATGCAATTCAAATAACATTAATAAACAGGGAAAAATAAAAACATGAATCATAAAATACACAAAACTGCTAATTTAGGGATATTTTTTACAGTGTAGACCTATTAATAACTGCACAATCTTAGTTTTAATACACCAGCAAATCTCTTAATTTATTTCCAATCACTGTACACATATTTTTGGCCATGTTATGTATGATTACTGGATTATATGAGACAAGAAATGGTGTAACAGTAAAGCTGAAGTTTTTGGCCTAAAGTTAAGCTGTAAAACTGCCTGCCTGATTCATAAAACTGGCTTTTTCTCCATTAAATGTTCCCCTAATGCCTGAAATAAGGTTGAAAGATAATCATGACAATGATTAGGTGCTGTTTTTATGTGTGTTATTTAGGTAATGCCACTCCAAATCTGACTGAGTGCTGGTTCTGCTTGAATGCATTATTAAAAGCCGGGGTGTGACGCATTGGAGAAATTGTGTTATATTCTGAAGTATTATTTCAGGAACTGTTACTTTGACCACTTCTGACACTGAACACTTGAAAATCCAACTTTATACCTTCATAATTTAATTAAAAGCTGCAAAATAATAATATATAATTAATGTTATTTTGTTTTATATTATATTACTGTAACTCACCGGTCCTACCGCACCCAACCCAGTCTGAGTTGGCGATTCTTTGTATGGAAGTCGGCTGCTCTAACAAAGAGGATAAAGACCATGGCCTCTACTGTCTTTCGCTAGAGCGCCGCTACACTTACACTTCCCTCCCGGACGAGCCCCCACATGTAACCCACCAGTCCTACTAGCACTTCATTAGCTGGCCTCTGTTACACATTATATTATATTATATTATATTATATTATATTATATTATATTATATTATATTATATTATATTATATTATATTTTATTATATTATATTATATTTTATTATATTATATTATATTTGATTATATTATATTATATTATATTATAGTTAATTATATTATATTTGATTATATTATATTATATTTGATTATATTATATTATATTTGATTATATTATATTATATTATATTATATTAAATTATATTATATTATATTATATTATATTATATTATATTTTATTATATTATATTTGATTATATTATATTTTATTATATTATATTATATTATAGTTAATTATATTATATTATATTATATTATATTATATTATATTATATTATATTATATTATATTATATTAAATTATATTATATTTT